TGTGTGTGTGTGTGTGTGTGTGTGTGTGTGTGTATGGTGAGGAAGGATGTGGAAAGAGATTCCCTTTTGTACAGAGGTCACCGATTAGAAGCTCATAGGCTGAACTCATTCCATAGACGTGATTTATTTGGCTTTCAGTGTTGAAAAATGTAGATTAGTTGCCAACATTTAAAAATGAGATGTTGCATTGAAATCTAGGGTATTTTTTTTTTTTTTCTTTAGCTTCTGTTGAAAACTCAGAAGCTCAGCTCTGCTGGACACCAGTGGTCACAGCGTGCTGGTGGTGCTTGCCTCCGTAGTGTGGGTGTGGACTCTATTCCTCCTAGTTCTTCTGAACCATGGGCTGTTTCATTTCTTGACATGGGCGCTTAAGTTTGTCACTACCAAGAAATCAGTGCCATTAGGGAAGAGGGGAATTGATTTGTGTGCTGGCTTTGGGTAAGGCAAATCTGGCCTTGTAGCTTGGTTCTCCCACTGATGTAGTTGCCGGATATAGAGCAAGTTTCTCCATCTCTGTTTTGGTTCCTCACTTGTTGAATGGGGATGCCACTGCCTACTTTGGAGTGTTTTTATAAAGATAATTTTTTTTCTGGTGCCGGGGATTGAACTCAGGACCTTGTGCTTTGACGCAGGCGTGGCACCCCTGAGCTAAATCCTCAGCCCCTTCATGAGGATAACATGTATGAAGCTTTCAGCTCTGCTGTAGAAGTGCTCGGATAATGAGCTACTAGTGGTGGCAGTAGCCCTGATGGTGGTATTGATACCATCTCCTACCTTTTCTCCCAGCAGCATGTCATGGTTTAGTGGCCTTCTGGTCCCCAAAGTGGATGAACGAAAAACAGCCTGGGGTGAACGCAATGGACAGAAGTGCCCGCGCCGAGGGACTCGGGCCAGTGGCTTCTGCACACCTCGCTATATGAGCTGCCTCCAGGATGCAGAGCCACCCAGCCCCACCCCTGCAGCTCCTGCTCGGTGCCCCTGGCAGGATGAAGCCTTCATCCGGAGGGCTGGGCCAGGCAAGGGCAGGGAGCTGGGGCTGCGGGCAGTGGCCCTGGGCTTTGAGGACACTGAGGTGACTGCAGCGGCAGTGGGGACGGCTGAGGTGGCACCCAATGTAGCACGCAGGAGTGGACGATCATGCTGGCGCCGTCTGGTGCGGGTGTTCCAGTCGAAACAGTTCCGCTCAGCCAAGCTGGAGCGCCTGTACCAGCGGTACTTCTTCCAGATGAACCAGAGCAGCCTCACGCTGCTGATGGCGGTGCTCGTGCTGCTCACGCTTGTGCTGCTGGCCTTCCACGCGGCACCCGCCAGTCCTCAGCCCGCCTATGTGGCCCTGCTGGCCTGTGCCGCCACCCTTTTTGTGGCACTCATGGTGGTGTGTAACCGACATAGCTTTCGCCAGGACTCTATGTGGGTAGTGAGCTATGTGGTGCTGGGCATCCTGGCAGCTGTACAGGTTGGGGGTGCCCTGGCAGCCAACCCGCACAGCCCCTCAGCAGGCCTCTGGTGCCCTGTGTTCTTCGTCTACATCACCTACACGCTCCTACCCATCCGCATGCGGGCCGCTGTGCTCAGTGGCCTTGGCCTCTCCACCCTGCATTTGATCTTGGCCTGGCAACTCAACCGTGGTGATCCCTTCCTCTGGAAGCAGGTGGGTGTGAAGGACATACATGCAGGAACGGGAAGGGCCTTGGTGAGGCAGGGTGGGTAAGTCATGGGTGGATCCTGGGTACAGGGTTGTTTGGCTGTGTCTGGCAGGTCAGGTTTCTGAAGTGCACCTCCACTTTGGACACGGCTGAGTTGGAAGGAGGACCCCAGGACCCAGCGCTGTGTTCTGCCCATAGGCTAGTCTCCAGCTCTTTGGCCTGAGCCTGCTGAAATAATGCAGCCTGTAGAGATGCTGTGTGGGAGTAGAGGTGGGGATGTGGTGTTTAGCCCCTGGGTCATGGGGGGAGGGTGGTGTTGAGAAGGCAGGCTGCTCCAGGGCTTGGCTTCACTGTCCCCAGCTGATCCCTGAAGATTAAGGCCCCGGTGCCATCCCTGAAGGGCAGCGCTAGGTAGGGATCTGGAGGGACAAGTAGGTTTTGGATGGAATTGGCAAGGGAACGATCACCAGTGTCCTGGACCAGGGACATTTCTGAGGGGACAGGGAGAGTGGAGAACCTGGGGTCACTTCTCTCTTGGGGTTGGGGCTCCAAAAGAGAGGAGTGCTGGAACCTGATGTCATCCCATCTTTGCATACTGGGCCTGGCAGTCCTGCCTTGAGGTTCTCTGCTGGTGCTGACTACTGCCTTGGGGTTGCGTGTGGGCAAGGTGGGGATTGGTAGTGCCTTGTAGAGTGAGGGTAAGGGCTCTGCTGCCCACAGACCTGGCTGCTCAGTGGGCTGCCTTCTTCTCTGTGGGATCTTAAGACAGTCCTTATCTCCTTTACTCGCCTGAGTTTCCCGGTCTGTAAGACTGATACAAATGCCATCTGCCTCTGAGTTGCTGTGGGGACTCCACCCTTTCCAGAGTGGAGTAGGACCCACCCAATGGGATGGTGAGCTGTGAAGAACGCTGCGAGGGCTTTCTGAGAGACCTGCTTGTGGGGGTCTGGCATCTCAGGTCAGCCCTGCCTAGGGAGCAAAGGTGAGACTGCTGCAGGGACAGCCTCCTAATCAGCGCTAGTCCAGGGTGCTGCGCTCCGCCTGCTCATTGGGAAGGGCTAACCTCTGTCTTGCCAAAGGCTCGTGTCCTGTAGCCCACCTTGGCCTTACCTGTGGAGAGGAAGTTGCCTGGAGCTACAGGGAGAAAAGCTGGGTGCCCTGGCATGATGCCCTTTCCCTCCAAGCCTGTGCTCCAGAACACAAAGTACCTTTTTAAAAGTAACTTTATAGCCCATTTGTTTGTGGAACACGTGCAGGAAGGGCACTCTCAGACCTCTTAGAGGGCCAGGTCCCTCTTCTTGTGAGTCCCCCACCTTCTCTTCCAGGTTGGTTATCACGCTGGGCTTTGAGGCTGCACTGCCCTTCTAGAGGTGAGGGAGCTTAGAGATGTTGCCTCCCTTCCCCCTTCCTCTCTGGTTGTTGGTGGTGGCTGGTTTCTTCCCTGCTTCCAGTTGGCGTGGTTCCCAGAGTCTGGCCTGGCCCCTGAGTGGGGAGGCTCAACCTCAGAGAGGCCAGGGCTCCCAGGCTTCTGCCTCCTGGGGATGCCTCACCCCCGTGGGCCTAGGCCGATGCATTCTCAGGGTGGTACAGCAAATCATCCTGCCCCTGTGCCCATCGGAGGGATAAGGGTACCCATACAGCCTCCTCTGAGCTGGGAACAATTCTCTGCCCATTTGGGCTCAGGAGTTTCTGGATGGGATGCCCCGTGACCTCTCTATTCTCAGGTCTAACTGTGCTCGTTCTTGGAGGAAGAACCTTTTGGACACACCAAGCAGTTTCACCCAGTGACCCCAGCCTAGCCCAGAGTGCCCTGGCATCCATCTTTTTCCTCACAGTCAGACTGGGATGTGTGTGTACAGAGTTATTTCAGTCGCTCATCCCCCTTCCCCTTCCCTCCACCATGACTCACATTTTCCTCTTGGGCTCCTGGGGCCAGGAAGGGAAGTTGCCTGGTTTCCCCCCCTTTCCTTTTACCCCACTGGGGACTATTCTTAGAAGCCCCAGAGGGAGATAGTGTGCCCCCTCTTCACCCCTGCCGCTGGGAGAGGAGCTCGGCAGGGCCCTTGTGCATACTGGTCTGGGAAAAGAAGCTGGGAGGCCATCCTAGAGGGTCAGAGCTGGAAATGGTTAGGGCTTAGCCACACCAATCCCTCAATTTTACACAGAGTAAACTGAGGTCCCAGAGGTTAAGGACTTGTCTAAGTCTGCAGGACTGGTTATGGTTTGGGGGCAGTTGGTGAGCTTTCCCTCCCTTCTCCCCAGCCAGAGTTCTGCCACATCCAATTCTGGGGTGGAGACAAGTTAACCCCTGAGTCTCCAGAAACACTGAGGCAGTTTCCCCAAGATGTGCTTTCCAGTCAGTGCTGCTGATGCCTGGAGAGCTGTGCATGCGTGTGTGGGTGCGTGTGTGTGTGTGTGTGTGTGTGTGTGTGTGTGTGTGTGTGTATGTGTATTGGCAGCCAAAGGTGGCACTTCATCCTCAGGTTATGTGGGGGGGGCTTCTGCAGTACAATTGATGATTCCCAAGCCCCAGCTCTGAGGCTAGACCTCAAGAGCTAGAGTCAGTGGACTGAAGAGGACTCTTAGAAACCTGGAATGCATTAGAAAGTGGGATTAGAACCCAGGCTTTGGAATTTGACTCTCCTGGCTGGACTCAAGTCCTATGCCAGTTGTTCAATCTTAGGCAACTTACTGAGGTTTTTTTTTTTTTTTTTTTTTTTTGGAGATAGGGTCTCGCTGTGTAGTTCAGCTGGCCTTGAATTCACTGTGTAGCCCAGGCTGGCCTCAAACTTGTGGTGCTCCTCCTGCCTTAGCCTCCTGAGTGCCAGGGTTATAGACATGTACCCCCTACCCCAGCTAGTCCCTTACTTTTAAAATGGAATACTGTTACCTAATTTGTGGAGTTTTAAGACCTACATTAATGTATAGAAAGTGTCCATAGAATCTCAGCACATTGCAGAGAGCCAACAAACTAGCTATGGCGGTAATAACAATAGTGGTCATTATTGTTACTCAGTCTGCAGGGCAGACTGACACTTTAGAGATCTTATTTCCTATTGGAGTTATAGATGAGCAAACAGAGGCCCAAACAGAGAGACGAACTGACTTGTCCTGGGTCACTCACAGAAGGACAAAGAGCTCAGGTCTCTTGGGTGCTGTCCTGTAAGGAGACCACATGGGGAAAGAGCAGCGCTTATCTTTTGTTTGGATGTTTGTGGGGCAGGAGGCCTTAGGGTGCTGGGGCTGCACTAGTTGGTGCTCCCGTTTGCTGAAGCTGTGAAGTGATCACTTTCCCATTCATGGAGTGATCCCAGGCAGAGGGCTGGGATCTGCATTACTGTGGGGAATGGGAAAGGAGGATTGGAGAGGTGGAGACAGACAGGATGCAGACCCTGGTTTTGTCCCCAAGAAGTGCATTTAGAGAGAACCTTGCAAGTTGCATGTATGTATTGGGAAGTGGTCTCCCATCTGCCTGTGCTGCTCTCCTGCAGCTTGGTGCTAACGTGGTACTGTTCCTCTGCACCAACGTCATTGGCATCTGCACTCACTATCCGGCTGAAGTGTCTCAGCGCCAGGCCTTTCAAGAGACCCGCGGTTATATCCAGGCTCGGCTACACCTGCAGCATGAAAATCGGCAGCAGGTGGGGCTGCTTCCCCTGACCAGGGCATCCCTTTTTTTTTTTTTTTTTTTTTTTTT